TGGGCTCCCTCCAGGGTCTGGGTAGCGCTCTGAGACAATTGGTCGCTTTTCCTCACCGCGAGCTAAGTCGTCGCCCGGTCTGTTTAATGGCGACATCAGTCGCGACATGGTACTTGATAAACGACGCCAGTCCGCTCACTTACCACCAGTCGGTCTTTTATTTGCATGATCCAAGAACACATGGTAGCTAACGGACGATCGGCAATACCCACGCCAAAGTCTGCAGTAATGCGATGCATCGCTTCTTACACATTATTTATGTATAGCAGAAGGTGCCAAAGTGTGGTGGCACTCCTCTGTTTATTCCCCCTTGGCGCGTACGGAGACCCCAGCTGACGAAGCTTTTCGGGTATCCATTCCTTGCCAGTTGGTCCTGCAGATGCCGTAATTCTCGCACTCGTCCCTCAGGTTCACTGGAAGATTGCTCTAATGCAACCTGGTTTAAGTGCCATCGGGTGGTTGTTTTAGTAGTTGGCCTTCATTTTTTTCAATTCTGTGAAGACAATTGCAAATCCTAGAATAACAGTTCGGCTACTGTGTCCGCTTCCAGCTACGCGACTACGGGAAGGACCTTTAAGCTTGCACTTCACTACGTCTATAGAAAGACCACATCTGCGCATAGGTGAAGGCTTCCTGAAAGGTAACCGTCTTTTTATTATCTAACCGATCGGTATTCCCCACTAAAAATAGGATTCCGGTATGTGCGAAAAGACGCGGTTCGAGCCACAGATGAGAAAGAAGGGGAAGAACACGCATTCGTTTCATTTCCCTGACTTTTTCGATGTGATTGAAGTGCTTGATGTTGTCAGTAATTCTACTGGGTATTTTCGTGTGAAGAGACAACATAACTACTGGCCACTTGGAAAGGGCTGAAAGTACATTTCTTTTCATTGGTTACGTTTGTGCCAAGGTACTTTTTGACACCGACAAGAAGTGGCGATGATCATGTGCGTAGAAGGTTGCCACAAAGGCCCTTTTCAAAGCCGGCCTTCTCCAACCGCTACTTGTGTCATGGTATTCTAATTGCCTTTTTGATTAATTGGCCTGTCTACACTGGTCTCATATAGGCTGTGACCAGATGGTTTAGGCCGCTTCCATTCTCTTGCTGTTCTGCTAGGACACTGGTCATATGTTTGTTTTCGATCGTGAAACATGTTGGCACGCGTAGGTGCAGGCTCACGCCACGCCAGCCACCAGCGCCTGATCCCTATCCTGATCGGGTTAATAACGATGTTTTTGTGTCATCTGCGCCCGACTTCGCCTCCGGTCTTCTTGACTCTGTCTTAACGCCGGGCACAGGTAAGTGAGGGAAAAGGGATATTGCGGTAGATGCACGAAAGTCTAATAATACTTAAAACTAACTCACGCACAATTCGCTGCGTTTGCCCCCAGTCTGCTAAAGCCCGCGGCGGGCATCAGAGTATACAATCGAACTGGCAGCCTGCCCCTCGTTTTCATCCTTTTGCGGCATCGCGGCGAGCATAGCACATTTTTAAATTGATACACGGAATGGGAGGATACAAAAAGACCACATTTACCACCTCCTGAGTAACTTCCAGCCAACCCCCCGGTTCTCATACTCCCGAATTTACTGCAGCTTCCCCTTTCTAGTGTATGTTTTTTTTAAGCCTAAAAGTATTTCTCTACCTTTTTTTCAGAGGTGCAGCAGGAGATCGAGCGCATCTTTGATTTAGCGCGAACGCAGCAGTTGGTGGTGCTGGACTGTGACACCATCAACCATCCCAGCCAACTGGCAAAGACATCGCTAGCGCCAATCAATGTCTACGTCAAGGTCTCCTCCACAAAGGTGCTTCAACGACTCATCAAGACCCGTGGAAAGTCCCAGTCGCGCAATATGAACGTTCAAATGGTGGCAGCCGAAAAACTCCTTCAATGCACCAATGTAAGTCACTGCCGTGTGTGTGTGTGTGTGTGTGTCATTAGTCTTTCCAGAGAAGTTCATTTACGTCTTTAAAAACTCCGAAAAAGTACTAGCGCTTTGATTATGGTGGGACACTTTAGCAGACCTGAGGTTCATAGAGCTTCCATTTCCCTTCTTAGGATATTCGTAGCTAGTTGTGCCGTTTATGCTTTTCGTGGGCAATTAGGCAGGAATAGTGGTCGCGCACCCTTAAATTATTCAACGCAGACAACCTGTGAGTAATGGTAATGGGGGTAATAAATTGTCCCCAAGAGCTCTGATAAGCCTACGCACCAAACGCAAAAGTACCAGGGGGATTCATATATTGCAAATCGAGCAATAGGTTAGACGTTTATGCAGACCATAAACTGGACACTACCTATGCATAAATTGGTTCTTTTATTGCGGTTTGACATAAAGTACAGCAATGGTAGTTAATGAAAACCCCGGATCGGGTAAAACGGAGAAAGGCTAACGGGGGTTTAAAGATTGGGACCGAACCGCAGTCAAGCAGCGCGGTTTACGCGAGCAAATATAAAAATAAGTTAAATTCCCTAGGGCTCAGTATAATAACGAAATTGAGAATGATATTTAAAAAATAAACAAAAAACACTCCCAACAAATAAAACTGTTTTAAATAAAAAAGCAGGCATATAACAGTATTGTATGTCGTC